CGATACCTCAAGGGATATGAATCACATTCTACATCTTCTTCAAGAGCTTCTACAAAGTCGAGTAAAACCTACTTCGATCAAATGTGGTAATGAGAAATGTGAAACATCCCCCAAGAGACACCATTATTGTCACTTCCCATATATGACTGCATACTGGGGACATATATCGATACGTTGTGTCATGAAAACGGAATTCTCTGAGAAGTGCAGCTTTCCCATTTTCCTTTATCGGAAAAATGTTGTTTATCTATATATTGCAGGTCACTAGTCTCTGTAGTACCATATTTTAATTTAATTGAATTTATCATTTCTGAAAATTAATGCAATATCATTTAACAAACTATTTGTATGAAACATTTCGCATTATATAACATAATGCACCAATGTAATGAATATTTCAAATGAAATTTATCAATCTATCTCCGTCAAGTACATTAGCACATAAATTGAATTGCTGAATTAAATAAACTAATTTGATTTTAAAATTATATTTGTAAAGCTGTAATAATTATAATATATAATAATTAATATTAAAATGTATACAAATTAAATATTTGTTATTATAAATATGGTTGATTAAATGATCAAGATTTATTAAAGGTAAACGAGCTCGATTCTCGTTAATACAGGAATAATTCGTGCAATAATTTAAAATTACGTGGGCAATTAAATAATTAATCACGGTAAAACGCGATACGGGGAAACAAGTTTCGCTGGGCTCGTGCGCAATTCGCGTGCCACACACGCATCGCATGTGGTTGGCTCTTTCGTCATTGAAACTCCGACACGCTCATAACGCAGACCTCATTTGCTCGTAAACATCGCGTACGCTTATCGCGCGGCTGTGGCCCAGGTTAGAGCCCAATTATGGATCCGATCGTAATCGAACGCGGTGCCCCGTTCGCTAAAAACACGCGGGAACTCGCTAATCTTAGATGGAGACGCGCGCGTACGTACGCTTTTACGTGCGAAAGCCGTCGTGTATATATAAACTGGCGTAACGCTCTGATAGGGCGTGTAACAAGGGAAGTTACGACAAGGGGCGATAATAGTTACTTCGCTATATGCCGCCGCGAACGTTATCGGAAATTTAGTTTGCACTAGTTTTTAATGCAAAACAGTGCAACGTAGATTGCCAATAATTTACAACGCCGCGACACTAAGGAAGTGAATTTTGCGCAAATGTATGGGCCAAATTTTGCTATACAAATCTTGCTATACTTGCTAATTGGTTTATAAATTTTTGTTAATTTACTTTTTTTATTTACTTTTTATTATTTTTTTGTTTCTTTAAATTTTTAAAATAGAATAAGTAAAACGTGATAAGAATTGTGAGAACAAAGTAAACCATTAAATATATTTAAATAATAATATAAATTTAAATGTATGCCGTGACAATTGATAATTATTTAAAATATGATTATAAATAATAAAATTGCTGTTTAAATTAATTAAAATACAATTATAAATAATTAAACTGCTATTTAAATTAATTTGACTTATAATATTTTAAATTAAAAATTTTTGTATATAGTATGAGTACTACAAGTTATTATTGATTAAAAATTATCATAAATAGATCAGTGTCTATATTCTCATTTTATAATTTATAGTTTATAAATAAACATACTTTCTCCCTCTTCTCTCTCTCTCTCTCTCTCTCTCTCTGTCTCTTTTTCTCTCTTTCTTGCTTATCTTTGCTTTTCTTTGTGTACAAAGCATTTTGATTTGTTATAAATAATTAATAAGAATAGATGATAAAATAAAAATTAAAATCTTAGATAGACACATCAGGATATAATTTATATTAGATTTATTATTTTATCCATTATTTAACATCAGAACTAGTTGAATGTTAGAATGTTGCTAACTAGTTAGAATGTTGCTAACATTATAAGATACGTTGTTGGGCTGCTAGGAGAAGATAAAGTTAGCAACCTCATAAAATATATGCGCAAGTAGATAATCCAAGTTTTCCAGAAAACCGACGAAAATGAAGCTAACAAGCAGTCTGAAATATCGCAATAACTGCGATTCATGCCTGTATTATGGCACATGGGAATACCTATATTAGACCTCGTATTAATGCATACCGTCGCGCCGTGTACACCTCGCCACGGAATATTATTCCGTATTCACGTATGCGTGTGTTTACCGTGGAGCATATCCTGCGCCACATATATAACCAAGAGTTACAGAAGTGAAAATTTCCCGCTCCGTGTACGCTGCGGAAGCGTAACGTGCTCGTACTATTTTTCTGCCCCCTTTACCCGAGAAAGAATACAAGGGACGACATTACGTGTACAGATTGCACATATTTAAACGGTCTGAATTAAATTCCTCTGCTTTCCGCTTTAAACTTGAATTTTTATCTTTTACACTTGCGTTTATATATTCTTTTGCGGCTTGTTGAAACGTGCGTAAGAGTCACGATATAATCGTACACGTGGAAAACGCTTTCCAAATATTGTATTTTACATGATAAAATACTTACAAGTGTTATTAAGAATTATTCTAATTTTCTTTCACAGGTATTACACGCGTGTAATATATCATTGTAATAACACATAAATAATTCAGGAAATATCTAAAATACTGCTAAAATATTACATCTTTCAAAAAAATAAAACAAACAGAAATTGATTTCTGATTGAACAGAAATGTATTTACACAGTTGTAAATACATGTACGGATTTTTTTGCAAACTGAGCATTAAATTTAAGATTGCGAAGATATAAATAATTTTTCCCGTACGTGTCTTTGGCACGAACTCGTCGATTCCCGTACGTGCGATAACGTACCATGAAAGATTAAAGGAGGATGAGACAAATTCCCAATGCACCTAAGTGGTCTTATCAAAGGAATAACGAAGAATTTTTTTAACAGGAGGAGTAACATGAGGATATAAATTTCAATACATATAATATTTGAAAATTTAAATTGAATTTACAGGTTTGGAAGACGCAAACACGTCGTTAAACTTTCAAAGTTTTCGTATAATTGGCATACTGAAAAATCTGATCGAAAATACACGCGACTGAGCTAAGGGTGTAATAAATCAATATGTGGTAAATTGTATGGAAATCGGTGGAATAATCACATCTTGCCAGAAATATCCTATTATCTGCCAGAGTTACTCACGCAAACGTTTCACGGATGAAAACAGCTCTGCAGGGATGGGAACGTGGGGACAGATATGTGACCGAATGTTTCAAACAGGTTTCGGTCGCAGGATATTTCGTACACGAGGCACGAACGTTGCAAATAAATCAAGACTCTTCTGACTCCCGCGGTAGAGAGATTCACGAGGGTAGTGAGTACGAGAGGGTACGCTTTTCTGAATGAACAAAAAGGGCGGAACGATGCGCGGATAGAGAAAAACCAGTTTGGAATTTCGAAAAGAAAGCGGAGAGTTCATCTTTCGATTTATTGAGTAAATATATATGCTTCAGAGACTAAAATATTTGAATAATAATTTTTATCCCGTCCGCAAGCATTTCGTTCGCAACTCGTCTTTTCAATAAACACGAAAATATGTTTCAATTCTTTAATAAAAAATTTTTAATCTGAAATTAATGGATTTATGAATTTATGCTATCTTAATTTTACATTGCATTCAATAATCTCATAATAGATTTTTGAACGCATGTGATAAGAATAACACATAATCAATCTTTGATTGAATTAAAAAATGTGTTTATTTTTATAAACATTTGTTACAATTAGCTGAACTTCAAATTAATACTTTCCATTTTTTCACCAATAAATATGAATGAATCTTGGTCAACTTATCAATTTGCTACTGAGCAAATTGCAATCATTCGACCGCGGGGGTGTGTAATAAACATGAAAAAATTTTATACGGAAATACGGAGTCAATCTTATCGGGCGAGATACATTTCGCGAAGCGCGGTGCACGGAGAAATCGAAATAAATAATCGGTATCGTAATGTAGGCCATGGCGATAAAACGCATCACATATATTGCACTAACGCACGATGTAATCGGAGTATGGCGGACTGCAATCCGCTGAAAAATGCATCTCGTTTGAATTTGTTGGCGATCCCGCACACACATGCTTGTCCGGCGATGTGCAAAATCGCTGTGCGACATACGATCGTTTCGGTACACGCGCGATTTTCAGACGAGATTACTTTCATCTGCGAGGAAAGATGAATGGAACGAGAACGCTTTCGGGCAGCGCACGAATGCGCCGAATCAGCTGTAAGACCGATGATTGGAATCCAATTAAACCTTTGTAATATTACTAAATGTAACAAAATATATTTTTACCTCTTGTTATTGGTCTTGTTAAATGATTTTTGTCATTCATTGCTCTTTTATAATTATTATTGTTTTGAATAATTATAAAATTGTTTTAAAGTTTATATGAAAAAATAATTCATTAATATTGAGAAATTTATAACATGTTAATAAATTGTATATATAGACTTTCATTATTTAATCTGATTTGACAGAATAGTGACTTTATAATACATATAGTACATATTTTAAAAAGTTTAAAATTTTAAGAATATTTTAACAGTACAGAGAAAGATATCAAACAATTGTACATGATGATAGTTTTAAGACAAGTCCGAATATGTAGTAATACATTTTAATTTTTATTTAAGATTATTTCCAGCTAATACAGTATAAAAATAATAAATTAAATAATAAATTAGAATAACATTTTAGAGCTGTCTTGCTTTGAATGTTTACATCTGTTTACATCATCATTTGCATCTGATTTGTACATGCTTTTAATTCTTCTATCTTGATTTCATAAATGAGTTTTGGATTAATATTTATATTAAAAAATGTTTTAAATATGTTACAGTGGAAAATACAAATATATTTACAATAATAATAATTACACATGAGTTAATGGCTGGAAATAAATGTGTAATTTTGTATATCATAAAACACAAGATAAATGTATTATTAATTATAATTTGTAATTTTTTATTGAGATTATTTCTTTTTATTTATCTTTACAGGTGAACGGCTCTTGGAGTTTGCCTGGGTTTGTTTGTGATTTTTATATCGCAATGGATGTGACTTGCAGTACCAGCTCTATATTCAATCTCGTGGCTATTTCAATAGACAGGTAAACATACCTTTACTTACACAAGAATCAAAACAGTTCGGAGATATCGCTTGGAAACTTCTTTTTTAATAATTTATATTTCTTTGAATATTTAATATGTATAGATCAATTTATTAAATTTATTCAATATCAGATACAGAATCGCAAACGCGTTTCAATAATATTATCTTTTATAATTTTATAAGATTTTGTTACAAAACATGAAAATAATAAAAATATTACCATTTGTTGTTGCCAAATAGATTTCGCAATTGTGTTAAATTTTTTACACGCAAATGATTAATGAATCGAATTACCGCACAATCTTCCACGTTCTTTCTTAAATTGCGACAGTGGAAGAAATTAACATTCAAACATGTGCTTTCGCCTATTTTCGTGGTCATAAAAGAACCCGCAGTGATTACCGGGAAAGTTTGGAAATCAGGAAAAAGTAGGGTAGGCTGATTTTACTTGGTTTACGTGCCTTGAATAAAACGCAAGCAGAAGCATTTATGCTCGAAATGCAATTTGTTGTTAGCAAAATTAAACATTCTAGAGATTTAAAAATGCAGAGTTTAATCTTTTATAAATAAAGATTTATATGTTACGAAAAATTAATTAGTAATTAGTTAATAGATATTAGGTAATATCGTTAAAGAAATAGTAAAGTGTGTAAAAATAAATTGTTATTAAGTCATGATAAGAAATATGTAAATAAATGTTAAGTTATTTATTTAGATAACTTTTTATTCAAAAGAATTGTAACAATAGATTGTTAAAAGCTATGCCAAATACTAAAAACATTTTGAGAGTTTCTCAAAGAGAAACTTCGAGCTTTAAGATTGTTCTGTAGCATCACTCTTTCAAACTTCGAATGTCCTGAATACAATAGCTTGAAAATAACCTTTTACGGTCTTTTCATTTCTTTGCACAAAGTTTATATAATCAACCACAAATTTCTGCGAGCAATAAAAATGCATTTAAAACAATTTATTAATAAAGCACTAACTTTTTATCATTATCTTGAAGTAAACCTATAGTAAATAAAGTATATATTATTTATATAACCATATAAATTTGTTTTAAATTTCTTTAAATTATATTTTATACATATATGTACGTTTACAAGATCTATTAAAAAATCTCGTCTTATTTCGAAACAAACACTAAGAGTGACAATTGGTCACAGTGATAATAGTACACTAAATACGTTATAATCATAGAGATGAGATTTCTAAAGAAAGGATCAAACTAGAACCGTTGGAGATCTGTACAGACGGTTTAGCGACGATATAATGCTCGTCGTATGGGATAGAATTGCAATGCACGCGAACCGATTTTGAATTACAGATATATAGCAGTGACCCAGCCGATAAAGTACGCGAAGCACAAGAACAATAGAAGAGTATGGTTGACGATACTGTTGGTCTGGGCAATATCGGCCGCGATCGGCAGCCCGATTGTCCTAGGCCTGAATAACACCCCGGACCGGATACCGGATCAATGTCTGTTTTACAATACGGATTTTATCATCTACTCGAGCCTGTCCAGCTTCTACATACCCTGCATCATCATGGTATTCCTTTACTACAATATATTCAAGGTGAGAACCATGCAATTTTTTGTGATTATGCATATAAGCACACCATCGTGTGAACCTATATTTTTTTCGCACTTAAGAATCGACGGAAGAGTCCGTATTCATTGTGACTAAGACTAATCAACCGGTATATATCAATATATATGATCATCCTTATTTTCAAGTTTCATCAAGTTATGAATTTTAAAGAAATAATTTTTCTTATATAATTTTTATTGTAAATCTTTTTCTTGTAATACGAACGTGTATAGTATAAGTGAGAGAAAAAATTTTTTCACTGGTTGAGAAACGCTGGTATTAATAGGTCAAGCCGACCAGCGGAAAATATAGGATCATACGGGTAATCGAAATTACGCATTAAACGAACACGTAGATTAAATAAACCGTCATTATCATCGCCAATATAGTGCAAGTTGTGCACGACATGAACAAATTTTGATGTGATAACTAAAAATCTACAATTAAATAGTTGAATTTTTAAATGTCCAATAAATCGCTGATTCTAGAATATATTATTAAAAATTAATTAACATTAAAGTAAGATACAATCTTTGATTGAAATTATATCTGCGACAAATTTGAAAGCGTATGGCTTTTGTGATGCCACTGTTGTATAGCAGTTTCACAGAGACCGCGTAGTGAAATTTATTTCAAAGATTCTGCTCCAAAAAGAAATCAATAGCTGGCTTTGTAGTCGAATCGACGCACGCGATGACAAGACGCAAAAGGAATTATCTCTAGCTCGATTACAAAAGGACAAAAATTTATTCGTGCCTCTTTTATCTCGATGATTACTTCAGAAACGTGAACTGATCGCGAAATTGGCTGCACCATGAAAGGTAGCTCTTGTAAAGGCGAATCCGCTGTCTTCGTAATTTAATTGTCACGTATACGCCGCGCGTGAGGTACTACTAAAATTAATCCGACTTTATTACTTACGGCATGGAATTTTTTAATATTTCTCTCGGAAATAAAAATCGAAAAGAGATAAATGACAAATCATAATAATTAAAATACGCATGTGCACATCGTAATATAGCCGACATAAAGCTGTAATATGTCCGTAGAAAAATGTTGTGTGTTTCGAATATCAAGCGTTCGCATATCTAAATATTGGAACGTAGGCAAACAGTTTTGCCATAAACAAACATATAAAATCAACTTTGTATATCTATCTCGGATTTCTCGTGTTCGGCATATTCATAATAAAAATTGCGTTCAAATTTTATGTGATTAATCTCGGGCGCAGATGGAACAAAGTACATTGCGGTTTATATAATGGTCGCTATCATATTGCGATAGATCGTAAATACGGCTAGTCTGACAATTTCCACGTTTGTAGCGTGCGAAGTATTTCGCACGCACTGTAATATTTCGATTGCACTGTTAATTTCGTATTTGCGGCAATTATGCGTATAATACCTCAACGCGAAATACAGTAATAATATTGATACACGGCTTTATATTTTCAATATAGTTATCACATCATTCGCGTGCGGTATATTATGAATTCGTATCCTTCATAAAATTAGAGTGCATTATTAACGGCATCGCTTATAAAACAATTTCTGTTGAATTTTATGAAATTTATTAAAAATATAAAGAATATAACTTTAGTTGAATAAAGAAATATTCGAAGAATCCAAGTTTTCGGAAGAAAGATATAGTGAAATTTCAATATGGAACAAAAATTTTGTTTTTAATCGGCTATATGCGTCTTTCGTTCCGTCTACCTTTTTCTAATTCAAAAGGGATCGATAGTCTGTTTAATGGAATAGATTCACGCACAGGACGGTAAAATGCAAAGCAAGTTACTTTTTTCTCAATTGAGCTCTATTTGCGCCTTCATTGTGATTTAATTCCTAGCTTAAATAATTAAAATAAGTTTCACATTTTAATTATCCAAATAATATTGCGAAGCATGAACATAGTTTTTC